GTTAGCTCTAACAAATACAACAGTCACATGATAACTCACGGTTGATAGATTAAAAAAAAAACAACACTAAAACTGCAACTTGTTTTGAGAAGAAACAGGGAAATAAATGTGTACAATAGACTGGGTATCTGCTGATTCTGATAAAGCGTCCCTCTGTTGGCGGTGAGGGAAAGACAACAGGATGGTTATTTGTACAGTATTTATCTTTGAAATCAAGGGCCCTGTGGTATACCTCACCTTGGGAACAAACACTGCACAATGATCACAGAAAAGTGTCAAATCTCTGGTTTTGATTTACCAACAGTTATGAAATTTCTTCCTCAGGAGGAGGAAAAAAATATGCTTCATTTTTAGACCTGTGAGTCCCTCCTCGCCTTCTCTCAGTTAAGTGCCTCTCTCAGTGGCACTTTATTGACAGATGGGATTTTTATCCTGAAAAAAAAAAAGTGCTCATCTTGGCCTCTGTAACAGTCATGTCTTATTAATCTGGGGCGAAGGAAGAACGGAAAACAGTTAACCTGGCAAAGTCACTTGCCCTTCCTCAGTCTGAACCATAAAACTGTGGTTGGCAAATGAATTCATGGGGTACGACACGCATGGACGTTCCCTTCAAAGATGAACAAAGTTGAGGGCTCTGAGAATCCAATGGTCATAACCCAGGACAGCAATGTCTGGGGACCACAAAAACACTTCTGAGTTAAAAACATGTCAGTGACACCTCAAACGTTACCCTAAGTCAGAAGTCAGCAAACTGTGATCCAAGGAACATAGCCAAGTTCATTCCTTCTACGTGGCCTACGGCTGCTTGTGCCCCAATGGCAGAGCTGAATCGTTGTGACATGTACTGTGTGGCCTGGGAATGTGACAACACTTACTGTCTACCCCTTATGGAAAAAATTCGCCATCCCCTGCCCTTTGTGGGGGGACTTTTTACCAGAAGTCTCTGATTAACAAATTAAACAGCAGTTTCTTCTGACACATCAATGCTTTGCATAAGTCACGACCCCTTTCCCCTAGGTATAAGGTCACAGATTTTTGGATATTTAGAATTACCCGTCCTTTCAAAATATATATAAGTAGGTAACAAGTGCTAATATTTTTGAACAGTGTCTAGTGCAGTTTCCATGATGTACTTTTTAATTCTCACAGCTCCAGAAGGTGGTCATTAACATACCCAGTCACACGTGCCGATACTGAGGCTCAGAGGCATTGGGGTAATAACTAGCTCAGAGAACACAGAACTACAAGTGGTTTCCCTACCCAATCTGGCTTTCTCTAGAACTTTCTTTATATCCATTGCCAAGTAGAAAGCAAATTAAGTACTAAAAAGTGCTGCCTCTAACCAGGCGTACAGTGAAGCAGTTAAGAACTGCAGCCAGACTGCCTAGGTTTAAAGCTTGACTCCACCTCTTACTTGCTGTGTGACCCTGGGTAAATCACTCAACCTCTCTGTGCCTTAACTTCTTTAACTATTATTCTTGGGAATACTACTACAGTATGATCATGACAAGGTGGCTGTAAGGCTTACATGAATTCATATACGTGAAGCACTTTGGGACAGTGCCTATTGTACAGTTCAGGGTTATTTACTTATAAAAGATTACTAGAGAGCATAAAATCAGGGGATTAGAAAATAGGTGAAAAAAAATCCATAGCAGTTAAATCAAGGTCGAAGCAATGCCACACTTTGTCAAGTAGAGAATACCATGAGTATCCATGGTCCACTGGTATCAGTTTGCTTAAACTATAAGAAACCTCTTCTATAAGAGAGAGAACTGAAGGGAAGAGTCGGCCCAGGAAAGGGATGCTTTCAGAATCACACATCCAGCATTCTCAAGCGAAATGCTTCCAACATCACTCTGATGACAACTGCCCCCCGTGATGACATCATTCACAGAAGACAGGTGGTTTTCATTTGAACAAGAAATTCAGTAGTTTCTTGCAGCACAGTTCAATGGAAAACAAAGTTGGTTTCATGAAAGGCCATCTCACTTCCCTTCAGACTGAACAGAGATGTGGCAGACGTGAATCTACAAGAAGGCTAACCTATTTTCCGCTGTGTTAGACAAGATCCTGATACCTGAAGGCCATTCTCTTTTTCTAAGAAGTGCCATACAAGGAAACTGAAATCCTGACTTTGTCATGGACGACCCATCCACGTGCAAATCGCGGAAGCACCAAGGGCGCTCTGAGTTCCACAGGTTTTCTTCCTCCTTCAGCCTTTGCTCTTCCTTTGTTGGTTTTTACTGAGTGGAACCCAGACTCTCATCCCTAACCCCCCCACGCTGGGCACATGAGCTGAACATCTCCCTCTGCTCTGGAAGCGCGCGCATGATGCAATCCTGGGTACGTCACTGTGATTGGCTCAAAGCTAGAACACATGATTCCATCTGGACCAATGACTGCCTGCCCAGGGCTTTTTTTTTTTTTTGAGACCCGTGGAGCATAAGCCTATCTTCTTCAGTTCCTCTTGGATTCCGAGTCCAAGAACCAAGGCAACATAGGAAAGGGAGCTAACAGACAACCAATGCTCCTAACAGTCCTCTTTGAGCATCTGGATCCAGCAGTGCTTGAAGCAGAAGGTACCACTGGATTTTTTTTTAGCAATAGGGGCAGATGATCAAATTTAAGTTGGGTTTCTGTAACTCACAAACACAAGTCTTTTGACACACTGAAGTCAGTAAGTACTAGGAAATAAGCCAGCAACAGTTGCAGGCTGATAGTGGCATTCCAATTCCACTGAGCAAACAGGAACTGAGAACATGTCGTGTCATGTGCAAAACCACAATAAATAATTGATAGGTGGTTTCCCATACAAGAGCCAGACTCCCAGTAGCCTTAGAAGAGATACAGGTTTTTTTAAAAATAGCAATCAAGTCTAGGCCCCATTTCTAATGATCTTTGGACTCTTTTAAAATAATATTAGTTATGGTTTAAAATTATGTTCTCTTTTCAGAGATAGATTTTTCTATATTTTTACATATATAATTATTTACATTATTTTTATACTGTGTATTAATTATAAAAAGATTATTAGGACATAAACACTTCAGCCATTAACAAAATTTTTTAAATGGCTCAAATTGGGAAACTGGTATTTATTTCCCTTTCTGACTCTAAAATTGGTTTATGTCACTGAAAGTACTGATGATGCTATAGGGACTTTGTAAAAAATAAGTCATATTTACAGATGTTAACCAACTATTTCATAGATGACAGAAATCAGCACCAAAATATTTACCAAACACTGGTGCAGAAGGGGAAATCAGAATTTAAAAGTGGATTCTGCCAAGTTATTTTTCTCTCATTTTACAAACAGGATTAGATGAAGGATCAGGGGAAAAACCCAGAAGATTCTATAGCGAGAGACTTACAAAGAGAACAAAGCCCTATACCACTAAATCTTATTCATAATAATTATGAAGAATTATTGCTTTATTTAAAATAATGCATAGCTGCACTTGTTTGTTGATAGTTAAAAGCAATTTTGAACATCTCCTTTAAAAAACTTTTTGAGTATTTAAGTGTTCAATGACCACACAGTGCCCTTGAAGTAAAATATTTAAGTCCGGGAAGCTATGAAACAGATACACAGACTTCTATTCATTCATTGAAACATTGTATTCAACAAAACCACTGGCAGTTTAACATTATGTACATCTCTAAGGGTATCTTTATTATAGTATTTTTATCCAGGTCCATAAAGATACACACAGAGAGAGTTCTAACACATAAAGAGCATACAATACTGGAGACCTGCACAGAAGTCAGCCAACCTCTGTTTTCCTGGGGCTCAAATGAGAGAGAGAAAAAAAAGAAAGAAACTAACAGGGAAAGTAGCCCCAACAACCAATTTATAAACAATTATGCACTTGGATGTATAGAAGTTATACATATGCATATGTTTATTACATAATATATGTATATAACATAATGTAATATTCAGTCCATTAGTCAATGCCATTATGAATATATTTATGTGGTATCATAAAAAAAGGGCAATTTGGTCAAATTTTTTTTTTTTTTTTATAGAGACAGAGTCTCACTTTATCGCCCTTGGTAGAGTGCTGTGGCATCACAGCTCACAGCAACCTCCAACTCCTGGGCTTGCCTCAGCCTCCCGAATAGCTGGGACTATAGGCGCCCACCACAATGCCTGGCTATATATTTTTTGTTGTTGTTGCAGTTTGGTGGGGGCTGGGTTTGAACCGGTCACCCTTGGTATATGGGGTGGGTGCCTTATTCACTGAGCCACAGGTGCTGCCCTAGTCTAAATTTTTTCAACTAGGTAACAGAGGTAAGGAAAATAGTAAGATGTAGTTCTAAAGCATTTCATTTCAGCTATGAGAAGATAAACATATTTTCTTTCAGAGATACTTATCGGTGTTAGAGATTCAAATGAGATAAGTGAAAGTTTTAGCCAAACTTTTATAGTAGAAATTAACTTTCTCCATTCTCCCTATAAGGACAAGAATCTGAACAGAAGTCAACCAAAATAGAAAGATAAAAATCAGGCTGAAGTGTTTCCTCACCATTTATTATTTTAGGTTTATAAAGTCATTTGTATAACAACAAAGAAGGGCCCCAATCACCAAGCTGCAACTGGCCAGTAACTGACACCAGTTTTATAAATGTCCAGTTAGTGCATATGTCACTGATTTACTAGGTAGGGGCATGAATAAAAGTGAAAACTAAATTATTGCAAGTCTAATAATGGGATAACTTTTTTAAAATATCACTGTCATTCTGAAAAATTAGTAAATACAGGCCCTTACTAAGAATACTACTGCTGTCGGGGGTGAGTCTTTTCCCCTTGACAGTAGAACAGACAGACTGCGTTAACTATTCCTATGACAATGTGCTAGACCTTGTGACTTAGAGTCCACTCTCGAAAAGGGTGATGTGAGACTCTCCATCAAAAAGGCATTGTGTGAGCAAAAGCATGAACAGTGGGAGGTGATGGCTATGTAAAGGAGAAAACAAAATCAAATCATTCTTACTTTAGAAATGATTGGAAATCTTCGCACACTGCTTCACAGCCTGGCCACTTGCAGACACCATGTCCATAGAGAGGATGGCTGTGGGGGTGCTCCTCGTGGGGCAAACTGAAAGGAAAACACAGAAGATAAGAGAATGAGTTTGCTGCCAAGCACCGTTCCACCAGGCCAGGATATAAAAGGCAAGAGGAGCCCGCAAGGCCAAATGTGGGCACGACAAATCTGTGGTTTTCTTTCCCAGGGAATTTACTAATTAATTCTGCATTGTTTGTTAAAAGCAAGAGTTAATTTGTACCTAAATGTGTTCACAGTCAAATGTTAGAAACGTGCCTCTATGTAAGAAAAGTTTTTGACAGGCTTTTGTTAGAGGCAGAGCTCTAATTCAGACTGTGAAGGAGTCTTTAAAAAGCTGGAACTTATTTAATCTACATAATGAAAATTAGAAAATCTGTACTTGGTTTTGAGATTCTCTTGCTATGTTTTTTACCCAGAAAGTTAGACATTTTTCCTTGTCCCTTCCCCCAGAATCTGTTTTCATGTAGCTGTATATTTTTCCCCCACAATTTTACCCAGCAAATAGTGCAATTAAATAATTCAGAATAAAAAACTAAGTTTGAAAGATAAATATATCCAAGTAGATGGTGAGCTTTAAAAAAAAAAAAGCTAATAGTGAAGATTACATTTTTAAAATTAGTGAAACCAAGAGTAAGAGAAAATGTGGCATGGACACGAAGGGGTTAATCCTCCAGTGGGGTTCCAATCAATACGTAATGATTTGGCCACACGGGGCCAAGTCATGGGATGCTTTGATCCACACCATGTGGTGCTTGGGGAAGAGTATCTGTTGCACTCGCTGATGAACCATATTCTCAAATATTTTCTCTATTATATTTCTAAATCCAGACTTCTTTTAGACAAATTATTTTTACAGTTGTTTCCATAACCTTAAATTCCACCAAACAGAAATGCAAAACGAACACGGAGAGTTCTGTTTCGTACTCAGACACATTCCCTTCACGGGAAGGGCTATTTTGCACCTTACTCGACTGCCTCTGCCTGACTTTGAACTTTTCAAGCACAGTGAAATTATGATCACACACACACACACCCAGCCTGTATTGTATATTACCATCAGGATGTGTATTCATATATTTTACTGATTCACAGTCTCAGAGCACATGCACACAAATGCCACTTGTCCCTGACTTATAACATAATTCACAGTGAGCACACTTTATGAACATAAACTAAGGAGCATGAAAAATAAACACACGTACACACAAAACTATACCTTAATCAAACAAACAGAGATCACTAGGTCTTTCTATGGCTTTTGAAAGATTTTGTTGGAAATCTAATATAATTTGAAAATAATGACAAGCTATTCCACCCTAAGAGAGAAGACAGGTCTGTGAACCAAAACAAATAAATAAACCAAAAAAACAAAACCCAGAAAAATAATATGTAAAAATACCCAAAGGTGCTCCCCATGCAAAAAATGAATAAAACAAGGGAATGAAAGTAACCACAGTGAAACCTACAAAGCTCAACAATGAAAGGATAGTCTGTAAGACTGAAAGGTAAAGTTCCATTGGACCCAAGGAAAAACCTACTTATCCATTCGTGTTCATCTTCAGATTTGTTAATGAATAAAATAAATATGATGCAAAAATTTGAATTTCTGACAACATTAGAATTGAAAAGAATCCTTCAACAGTACTAGAAATCTCAAACATTCTAAGAGGGAAGAAAATCATTTAAAAAGAAATTTTTTATCAATAGCTTGAAATGTAAAAAAAAAAAAACACCCCAACTGTAATACATGTAATTACTGTCTTTAGCAATTTTATTAAGACTATTCAAATGTATAGAGCTATCATTTAATAAAAAAAAAAAAGAAAGAAAAAGAAAAAAAAAAGACTATTCAAAATATTCTCCTACTTTTAAAAGAACATATTTGTTATAAAAAAAGACTTGAAAAAATAGCCGGGTGTTGTGGCGGGTGCCTGTAGTCCTGGCTACCCTGAAGGCTGAGGCAAGAGAATTACCTAAGTCCAGGAGTTGGAGGTTGCTGTGAGCTGTGTGACACCATAGCACTCTACCAAGGGCGATAAAATGAGACTGTCTCCACACACACACACACACACACAAAAACAACTTGGAAATACTGAAAAAAATTACCCTCAAATACATATATACATATGCATATGTGCACTTTTTTTGAGAAATTAAGGCATGACTATTTATATCATTCTTTCACGTTTAACATAATTTTATAAATAATTTCTCATGTTACCAATTCATCTTGAAGAACCTTATTTACCAGTGGGCAATAGTCCATCCCATATTAACTCTAGTCATGTGCCCAAAATTTACCTAACCCATTCCTCTATTATTGACATAGAGATTCCTTTCATATTTCTTATATTTGAAAATTATATTAGAAATAAAATTTACCAGGCTAAACATTCCAGTATACAACAACTGATTTCTACCAGAAGACATATTTAGAGAAATAGAATCAATTAATGAATACCAAGATTTAAAATTCACTATGAATATTCTATTAAGTTGCTCTTGAAAAATGCTACAATGCCAAGTACATTCTTAGCCATTCTACATATTTTGTGTGATTCTTCAATTTGGAAATCAGGATTCGTTAGGATACAAAATTATTATCACTAGTTAAAAACTGCAAATGGTTATTTTACTGTGCTTCTTGGGTTAAGAGAGGATATTTTTCAAAATATAACAATATAAAATATAAATATAACAATATAAAATAATAATATGCATTCAACTAGAAGGATTTATGATTAGAAATAATACATGAGTCAACACGGTGTTTGCCACCCCTGCTCCAGCTTTTGCGGAGCTTATCTGTGAAGGATCCAGGGGCTGAGTAAAGACTACTGTCCTCTAAGAATTTACTTCTAGTTCAAACTGTTATCATTACTTCAAAGTAAGGACAGAGGCCTTTGAAAGACTACTTAGCTCTGAAATCTAAAGGAATACAAACTCTTCACACCTAACTACAAATTTACACACGTAGAATGTCTTGGAAATTTGCAGTTAAAAAAAAATCATTATTATGGAAAGATTTTATGCTTTTATTTCATTGACATCTACCAAGTTGGCTAATGAAGAATGTGCTAGTGCCACCCTCTGCACGCCGCCCTAGACCTTCTGGTTTGGTATTGCTCTGTATTGCTCTTCTAATGTATCAGTATTTTTAAAAATGGCCACATACTATAGGCAACTATTGTTGCTGCTTTTCATATTTAATACTTTGGTGGAGACTATAATAAATACAATACAATTGTCTGAAATAAAGTGTTTGGCTTTGGGATGAAAGAGAATAGGCTGCCAGCGATGTCCTACTGGAATCTCTCTGGAAAGATACAGAATAAACTGTAACAACTGTTACCTCTGGGGAGGGGACTGGGAAATTGAGTTTTCACTGTATCACTGAAGTTTTTGTTTTGTGCATTATAGGAATCGTTTGCTGTGCAATTGTAATTTTCTTTGCACAGACGCATGTATGAGTGTATACATGTATATAGTAAAAAAAAAACCCAAATGCTATGTACAACTCGACTTTCAGACTGCTGTTTGCCCTGACAGGGGCACAGTGACTACCACACTCCTATTGCACGTGTGGCTTTCTCGCTTCTGGCCTTTCACTCATTCTTTACGAAGCACCATCAGACGGCACCAGCTGCACCTCTGAATGGGAGCTTTTCTGTTTCATCCAAAAAGTGGAACAAGCATTTATATTCTTAATGCCTTTTAGGTCATGCAAAAAGAGATAAAAAGGAGAAATAAAAAGTAATTTTTTTAACTTGAATTAATTCCGAGTTATATTTAGAGGATGAAAAAGGGCAGGAAAATGATGATTTGAGTATCTGATGGTAAGATAAAGCTGTGAACCTGATCATTTAAGTAAACTGGTCCAGGGTAACTCACCAATGTGTAAAGTAAGACTTCTGAAAATCTGCCAGGGTGAGTGATGAATAAAGATGCGTTTGGTTTTTAAGTGACTTAAACATATCACCCTGAACCTAAACGTCTAAACATTTAGGGTCAATTGTTTAATAAAGTATTTTGGGGGATTTTTTTTTAAACTATAGACTCCCAGGTTGAATATGCCTGGGGACACAGATCACTTATTCATCTCTGCATACACAGAACCTCACACAGAGCATGGGCTCAATAAATGCTAGGCTGATTTATGAATGAACAGACAGTGAAGATATTGTCCTATTTAATTTTGGTGTGAATATACACTCCATAAGTGTTTGGCTTTTTAAAATAATAAATTCTTGTAGGTAAAGACCAGAATGATGCCAAGCCGTAAGAAAATACTGTTGTGACACTTATTATTTAATTTTATTCCAAATACATAAAACACAGATCAACTATGCATTTGAGAAAAGCCAGTTGATTTAAAATTCTCTTGATAATCCTTGATGTGTAAAAATTAAATATAATTTTAACACAAAAATAGTGAAGTATTTCAGATTAGAAAGACCCAACTTGCCACGGAAAAGACAATTATATATAAATATGCAATAATTCCTGAAATTACATGATATCAAATACGGTACACACTCAGTATAGTATAACAGTGTCACTTTCAATGACATTTATATAGAATATTTTTGTTCTATTTATTCTTGCTATATCAAAGTATACCAGCCAGAATCTTCTTCAACAATGACCTTGGCCTTTGAGAACATTCTATATAATGATTATAGCTCCTCATACTGACTTCACTATTACATTCCCAAGTTTGCTATGTAAACAAAACTTGAAACAAGAATTATTAAATTTGCCTGCTAAATAAGGAGTACTTCTCAAGTTTGCAGGCTTCAGTCTTTAGTGATCCTTACACTATCTTAGTCCTATAAGCTAATTTCCCCTGTGGTAACTAAGAGGAGAGGAATTTTTGACGGAGATGAAGAGAATAGAGACCTCCCTAGATCCCAAGACATTTCCTGCCAACTTAAACGCTGATCTGCCTTTCACCTGAAGGCGCATTCTCAGCTTTTCCTGTGCACTGACCCAGGTTCTCATGCCTGTCTTCTACGTGTTCCTCTAATTTGTTT